AGTTTGGCTTAGTGAAAATTATCTGTTACAAGGGAAGATTTTGGGAAATAATCACTGAAAAATAGAGCATCAATTGAGGTCCAATCAGGAATACAGAAACCATTCTATGGAAACTAAGGAACTTAATACAGGGGAATGTTACACAGAGGTTGGAGGGAGTCTCCAGATCAAAAAGGGGAACACGGAGGTGACCCAGCGATATTAACTGTAGGAAGTTGTTAACCACTTTTAGAGCTGGGGGAGCGAAGAACTTGGAAGTTCAGAGGAGGGATTCCACTGAGCTGGACTTGGACTCTGAAAAGTAGAACAGACTGGCTGAGGCTGCTACCTTTGAGGGGTCATGATGAGTCTGGTTTTTAAGGAGCAAAAGAAGTGGGAGGCTGGATTCAACTGCTAAAGACAGGGTGAGGGGCTCTTACTACCGAGATGATGCTGATAGGTGCAAGAAGCAAATGGAAATGAACAAGTCTCTCTTTTCTATTCCTGCTTTCTACTCTCCCTCCAGTGACCTCTGTTGATAGAACCTATCAGGAAGCCAGTTGGTAAAAGAGACATGTAGTTTGGGGAGTCCCAGCCCCAGAATTACAAAAACTGAGTACAAATCTATAGATACAGAGTGGAGAGACAACAGTTTAATAAGCTGCACTAAGCAATTAAATCAAGCTGCACTAAATCAAGAGTCTTAATCAATGGTCAGAGTAACCATCATCCAGCTTAAAAAACTCAATAACTTAAAAATTAATATACTTCTGTTGAATTTGCTTGCCATTAGACATGCACTTGTGTATGCTACGTCACTATAGTTATTTAATCATCCAATCTGGGACCTATATGGTACACATTATTTTAGGTTTTCGGATGGAGAAAATAAAGCAAGCTGAGGGGATAGGGATTGGAGTGGTGGCAGCTCTTTCATATGGGGTTGTTCTAGAAGGTCTCAATGAGAAAGTGAATTTTGAGTAAAGACCCAAAAGAAATATGAGAAAGCAGTAGGAATATATGGGGGAAGATTTTTTCAGTAGGAAAGAGTTGTGTTTGATAAATATGAAACTGGTAAAAATTTTGCAAGTGAGTGGACTTTTCTGATGGTTTGAAGTTTGTTTTTAACTATTTGCATAGTTCTCTTTTAGAAGACTGTGATTCTAGCTGAGTACCATCAACTCATTATCAAGTTCAAACATTCCACAAAGCATTGCTCACCTCTTCCACTAAGGGAAAAGCTATGCTTTTCACACAGCAGGTTATAAAAAATTTGCTGATGGTAAGGGAAGTTAGGTGAAGTATATAATGCTCTACCCCTACTATAAAATACTTCCTTTGTTTCAGAGTCAGCTATGAAATTCTAATAATAGTCTCAAACCTTTAATTTGGATTATTTGAGTAAATGTAAAATGCCCAGCACTGTACATAATTACTTCTTTGTTAAGATGTCAACCTTTGTTTTTTAGTTAAGAGTTAATGAACCTTGATAATTTGCAAACAGTCTTTGAGGCAGAAAGTAGGATGGACACCATCAGTACTCTTAACCCAAAACAACGAAACCATTGTTGGTGTTAGAATCACGCTGCTTTTTGTTCAGATAATTTTTTTCCTGAAAAAATACATGCATACTTTGTAACCCCAAAGGTGTCAGAAATATTAATAATTTAGCTATAATGAAGTACTCCTTCAGTCAGTTTTGTTACTCAAACAATAAATGTGAACTTACCTGTAAAGTTAGAAAATTAAAAATGATATAAAACCCAGGAATATTCTCATGTTAAAGGTTTAAAAAATCAACAGTAATTCTTGTCTTTGGAAAAAAATGAGTTGTACCAGGTAACGTAAAATCTTTCTGTAGTGAGTAAAAATTTCCAACAGGAAAGCTTGGGGTGGGTATGTCTAAGGTTCATTCATCTGAGGAGAATTTAAGACTGGACAATTTTAGAAAGTAGGTATTTGAGTTACCTTAGTAAATTTGTTTTTAACTTAAAAAGGAATCTTGAGAGGTCAGTAGTGCCCACTGGAAGGCAAGAACTTGGTTCTGGCAGGAAAACCCTTGCACATGGCTGGTAGTATTTGAAGAGCACTTAACCAGTGTGCCCAGTTTCCCCTAGCTGTCAAGTAGAAATAATAGTAATTGCTATCTTCCGCGGGAAGTGAGCATGTGCTTTGACGTCTCTGGTTGGAGATGCTATACCAACACAAATTATTATTATTAGAATATAATACATGTATGCACATAAAACGCCAGCATCGTGCTGTTTTAATGCTTATATAACGTCTATATATACGGCTCTTCCAAGCTCTCTCTTCACTTTAGGTAGGAGAATATAATCATAGCATGCCACTATTCAATTTTTCCAAATATGGAGGAAATATGTTTTGTAAAGCTCCATATCATCCTTCTGAGAAGCACTAAACCTACTAATCCCTTATGGTCTCTAGCAATTGCATGATGGCTCCCATATTAAGCCTTCAGCACCTTTTTCAATATTAGCTAAATTACTTTTTCTGGAACCATCGGGGAAAGGCTGGGGAATGAAATTGGCTAACGTCTTAAAATTGTGGTTGTTTAACATTTAACTGAGTCTCAACAACGTGTTAAAGTGCTATCTAAACAGATAATTAGCTAGCTGTTGCGCAGTGGGCTCTGTCTAAATTTAGCAGTAAATTAGACTCACGGAAAGTAAAATTTTCTTAAGGGAAACGGTGGTGTCAGCACAGCCGACGGATGTCACAATAGCTACATTTCGTCAATTATGATGATCATCAGGGGATCTCCCAGAGCGATGCAGGACAAGGCTTATTTATAAGTACCTACTGAGGATAGGTGATAGAGAAGTGGGCAGTGGGTAGAATGGCCTGAAGCCTTGGAGGTGAGTAAAACATTGTAAGCCAGTGGGCGGAGGGTGAGCCGACCCTAGAGATTGAAAGCTGAGGACAGCGTGGTCTTAGCCACAGGCAAACGTTCGTTTAACTGCGACAGGCTCGTCTGTAGGAGGCTGACCCTTGTTTGACTTTATTATTGGAACATATTTGTGGCTATCTGGTGGAGGTGGAAGGACTTACATACATGTAAAATTAATGGTATCAGCCCTGAGAACTGGTGTTCTACGCCTCCACACCCTCCCCCCCCCCCCAGTCCAAACTGTCCACCCTCCTACTCCCCCCGCGGAACTGCAAGTGGCTGTGGCTCCAAGGTCAAGCCACCGGGGCTGTGAGTGGCGGGTGGCTGAAGAGGGCAGGGCAGACAGCCATCTAGGGTGAGAGAAGGACATGGGGGACCACAGACGCTCCTTTTAGGGGCAAATGTTTAATACTTTCCGAGGTTGCTTTCCTGCGATCAGTTAAAAGGAAAACAGGCAAGAATATTACACGTGCGAGCATGCAAATAAAACAAAACCAAAGAAAACACCACCGCACGCGAAGCCCTCCGATGGGGGAAAATCCATGGCCTCCTGTTGCCAGTCGCCCGGCGCTGAAAGTGGACAGCCCGGCGTCCGGAGAGAAGAACGGGAGGCAAATCTGGGACACCTCTCCTCGCCGGGCTCCGCTGGCCCTTCCACCAAGCCGCCCTCCCAGAGAAAGGAGCAGGAAAAACGCTTCTGCAAACGTGCCTTGGCGGGGGGGGGGGGGGGGGGGGGGGAGTGAAGAGCGGGGCTGAGAAGAAAGGAGGGATTCGGAGAGCAGTTGTCCCGGGAAGCAGGAAAGAGAGTCTTTCATTCCCCCCCGTCTAGGCGAGGAGGGAGAAAACTAGTCCAGCAAGCAGCGTCCAGCTTCCTAGACAGGAACCTTTAGCACGGGCAACGGAAGGGCAGCCCCATCCTGCCTTCCCCTCCCCAACCCCTCCTTGTCCCGGGTCGCTACCACAGGGACAACGCCGCCCGGGAAAGACGAGCTCCGAGCGCGATTGTCCCGTAGCCCTCCTCCTCCTCCTGCGCCGGGGCAGCTGTGGACCCGCGAGGGGCGGAGTGGGCGAGACCATTGGAAACGCTGGGTAGAGGGGGAGCACGAAGCAGGAACGGGGGGCGGGGCCGACTAACCTATTCCAGATTTTCCTGTCCTCTTTAAAGCTCTGCTTTGGGAGAAACCCCGTTATCAAAGTGGATGAAGGAGAGTTTTTTTTTTTTGAAAGGGGAGGAGCGTGTGTAGGAGGGCGGGGTGGGAGGAGACGCGGCTTATACCCGGGGATCAGATAGGAGCAGCAGTTGCGCGGGGAAGCGGACGAGTCCCAGCGTCCGCTCTGAGGGTCGGCTTTCTCTCCCCCTCTGGCGCCGGGCAGGGTGGTGCGTTCCGAGTTCCCAGGAGTTCGAGGCGGGCGGGTGCCGGGGGGAGGGGAGTGGCGGCGGTGGCGGGCGGCTCCCACTTCAGGCTCGGCGTCTGCTACGGCTGAGTCTAGGCAGCCGCGAGCACTCGGCTC